AAATGGTCATTGGATAAACATATGGATGATAATGGAATAGTTTAGGTCAGATGGGCTTCAGATTGGTTTCACAGGTCGGCGCAACATCGAGGGCCGAAGGGCCTGTACTGCGCTGTAATGTTCTATGTTCTATGTTCTAAGGTGCTATACTTCTCACTGTACTCATTTGAGTACGTGGCCATAAAGCAAATCCTAATTCCAGTATAATGATAGTGTCGTACAGCTCAGAAACAGGCCCTTCAGCCCATCATGTTAACATCACACAGGCTTCCCTGAGAAAACCAAGCTGCCCTTCTATCTTACCTGCCATATGCAAAGCGACGATCTTTGTGATGGTCACCAAAGGTATCCCACAGTCGAAGAGAAACTGGAACTTCATCAACAACATCTCGCGATCGTTCCAGAACCTTCACAACACAAAGATGGAATAGGATAGAGTAAGGATAGACAGAGATTTTGGTCCATAGATCCCAGAAGGCATCAGCACATGTAGACAGGGCAGACAAAATGGCATACAGGATGCTGGTCTTCATTAGACAGGGGGTAGAATAAGGCAGTGATCAAACTCCTGTTACAACTTGATAAAACATTGCAATACTGTGTGCAGTTCTGGTCACCACACTATTGGAAAGACGTGATTGCACTGGAGTGAGTGCAGAGAAGATTCACCACAACGACCTGAAGGACATAGCTGCTCCACTGGGTCTGCAGCAGGTGGTGAGGGAACCAACGAGGGAAAAACACACCACCCTCTGTCTTCTTACAGCTAGCCAATTTCTGATCCAAACCGCTAAATCACCCTCAATCCCATGCCTCCGTATTTTTTGCAATAGCCTACCATGGGGAACCTTATCAAACGCTTTACTGAAATCCATATACACCACATCAACCGCTTTACCCTCATCCACCTGTTTGGTCACCTTCTCAAAGAACTCAACAAGGTTTGTGAGACACGACCTACCCTTCACAAAACCGTGTTGACTATCCCTAATCAAATTATTCCTTTCTAGATGATTATAAACCCTATCTCTTATAATACTTTCCAACACTTTACCCACAACCGAAGTAAGGCTCACTGGTCTATAATTACCAGGGTTGTCTCTAACCCCCTTCTTGAACAAGGGGACAACATTTGCTAGTCTCCAGTCTTCTGGCACTATTCCTGTAGACAATGATGACATATAGATCAAAGCCAAAGGCTCTGCAAACTCCCCTCTAGCTTCCCAGAGAATCCTAGGATAAAGCCCATCCGGCTCAGGGGACTTATCTATTTTCACACCTCCCAGAATTGCTAACACCTCCTCCTTATGAACCTCAATCCCGTCTAGTCTAATAGCCTGTATCTCAGTATTCTCCTCGACAACATTGTCTTTTTCCTGTGTGAATACTGACGAAAAATAATCATTTAGCGCCTCTCCTATCTCTTCGGACTCTACGCACAACTTCCCACTACTGTCCTTGACTGGCCCTAATCTTACTCTAGTCATTCTTTTATTCCTGACATACCTATAGAAAGCTTACCTTACCAATCTGCCTGCTGCAGATGTATCTGTCCATGACAGTATCGGTAAGAGTGACCATCACACACTCCTTGTGGAGACAAAGTCCCGCCTTCACATTGAGAACAATCTCCATCATGTTGTGTGGCACTATCACCGTGCTAAATGGGACAGACTTCGCACAGATCTAGCAACTCATGACTGGGCATCCATGAGGCGTGTGGGCCATTAACAGCAGCAGAATTGTATTCCAGCACAATCTGTAACCTCATGGCCCGGCATATCCCCCACTCAACCATTACCATCAAGCCAGGGGATCAACCCTGGTTCAATGGAGAGTGCAGGAGGGCACGCCAGGAGCAGCGCCAGGCATACCTGAAGAATACCATTTGAAAGGTGCCTGCATGGGCATATGAATAGGAACAGTTTAGAGGGGTATGGGCCAATTGCTGACAAATGGGATTTGATTAATTCAGCATGTCTGGGCGGCATTGATGAGTTGGACCGAAGGGTCTGTTTCCATGTTGTACAACTCCAAGACTCTACCTGACAATGTGGAAAATTGCCCAAGTATGTTCTGTACACAAAAAGCAGGACAAATCCAACCCGACCAATTACCACCCCATCAGTGTCCTCTCGATCATCAGTAAAGTGATAGAAGGTGTCAGTAACAGCGCTATCAAGCAGCACCTGCTCAGTGACGCCCAGTTTGGGTTCCGCCAGGGCCACTCAGCTCCTGACCTCATTACAGCCTTGGTTCAAACATGGACAAAAGAGCTGAATTCCAGAGGTGAGGTGAGAGTGACAGCCCTTGATATCAAGGCTGCATTCTACCGAGTGTGGCATCAAGGAGCCCTGGCAAAACTGGAATCAATGGGTATCAGGGGGAAAACTCTCCGGTGGTTGGAGTCATACCTGACACATAGGAAGATGGTTGTGGTTGTGGGAGGTCAGTCATCCCAGCTCCAGGACATCTCTGCAGGAGTTCCTCAGGGTAGTGTCTCAGGATTACTCCCTGTGTTACCTGCCAGTGAGGCTAGGAATAGGAAGACAGTAGAGTTCAATATGTGGCTAAAGAGTTGGTGTAGGGGGCAGGTGTGCAGAACATATGGATCATTGTGATCTGTTCCAGGGCAGGAGGGAGTTGTACAAGAAAACTGGAAGCAAATAAATTGGAGGGGCATCACTATGCTTGCAATGAGAATTGCTTAGTGTCATGTAGGAGGGTTTAAACTGGTGGACAGCGGGGAGGAACCAGAGCAGCAGTTCAGCATGAGGAGAAGGTTGATGTTAACTCAAGTAAATCCAATAGAAAGAACAGGCAGAGCTGAGTTAATGAACACGATGGGACTGGGGATCTGAAGTGTATTTTAATACAAAGAGTATAACAGGTAAGGCAGAGAAGCTTAGGGTCTTGATTTGTACATGGGATTACCATGTTATGGCCATTACAGAAACCTGGTTAAAAGATGGGCTGCGCTGACAGCTCAGCATTCCAGGATTTAGATGTTTCAGGCTTGATAGGGAGGGATGTAAAAGAAGTCAGGGAGTTGCATTAGAGTCATAGAGTCATAGAATAATACAGCATGGAAATAGGCCCTTTGGCCCAAACTGGTCAATGCTGACCATGGTGCCCACTCAGCTAGTTCTAATTGTCTGCATTTGGTCCATGTCCCTCTAAACTCTTCCCATCCATGTATCTATCCAAATGTTTTTTAAATGTTGCTATTGTACCTGCCTCAACCACTTTCTCTGGCAGCTCATTCCATATACTCACCACTCTCTGCCTGAAGAGGTTGCCCCTCAGGTCCTTCTTAAATCTTTCCCCTCTCACCTTAAACCTATGCCATCTAGTTTTCAATTCCCCATCCTTGGGAAAAGGACTATATGCATTCATCCTATCTATGCCCCTCATGATTTTATATACCTAAATAAGCTGATTCCTCATTCTCCTCCATTCCAAGGAATAAAGTCCTATCCTGGCCAACCTCTCCCTGTAACTCAGGCCTACTAGTCCTGGCAACATCCTCGTAAATCTTCTTTGTGGAATGTGGAAAATTGCCCAAGTATGTCCTGTACACAAAAAGCAGGACAAATCTAACCCGGCCAATTATCGCCCCATCAGTCTGCTCTCGATCATCAGTAAAGTGATGGAAGTCAGTAACAGTGCTATCAAGCAGCACCTGCTCAGCAATAAGCTGCTCAGTGACGACCAGTTTGGGTTCCACCAGGGCCACCCAGCTCCTGACCTCATTACAGCCTTGGTTCAAACATGGACAGAAGAGCTGAATTCCAGAGGTGAGGTAAGAGTGACAGCCCTTGACACCAAAGTCACATTTGATTAAGTGAGGCATCAAGGACTTCTAGCAAAACTGGAATCAATGGGCATCAGGGTGCAAACTCTTCACTGCTTAGAGTTATCCCTGGCACATGGGAAGATGACTGAGGAAGTTGGAGGTCAGTCATCTCAGCTCCAGGACATCTCTGCAGGAGTTCCTCAGGGTAGTGTCCTCGGCCCAACCATCTTCAGCTGCTTTGTCAATGACCTTCCCTCCATCACAAAGGCAGAAGTGGGGTTGTTCGTCGATGATTGCACAATGTTCAGCACCATTCGTGACTCCTCAGATACTGAAGCAGTCTGTGTTCACATGTAACTTAGGTACACATGAGAATAAATCACATCAAATCAAGAGGCAAATGGAATTCAACCCAGAAAAGTGTGAGTTGATGCATTTGGGGATGTCGAACAAAGCAATGGAATACATAATTAAGGGGAGGTAATGAGAGGTGTAGAGGGACAAGGATCCTCACAGTGAATTTCCACAGAGCCTTCAAGGTAACAGGACAGGTTGATCAGATGGTTAAAGATGGCAAATGGAAACCTTTCCTTGATTCGCTGAGGTACAGGATCGAACAGCAGGGAGATTATGCTGGAACGGTATAAATAATTGACAGGGCCACCACTTGAGTACTGCATGCAGTTTGAGTCTCTTCATTATTGCACTGGAGAGGAGGTACAGGAGATTTACGAGAATGTTGCCAGGATTGGAAAAATGCAGCTATGAGGTAAGATTGGATGGGCTGGGGTTGTTCTCCCTAGACCAGAGCAGACCGAGGGGAGATTTAATCAGAAACCTGCTTGCAGCTCCAACAATTTGCCTCCTTGATGACCGTAATTTTCTTGAATTTGACATGACAAGCTGGTACAAACTGTGAAGTCACATGGGATCCACGGTGAGCTGGTTTGACTTGATTTGATTTATTATTGTCACATGTACCGGGATACAGCGAAAAGTATTGTATGGCATGCTAACCAGACAAATCATACCTTACATAAGTACATGAGGGTAATAGAACAGAATGCAGAATATAGTGTTACAGCTACAGAGATGGTGCAGAGAAAGGTCAACTCTAATATATGAGAGGTCCGTTCATAAGTCTCATAGCAGTGGGGGAAAAATTGCTCTTGAATCTGTTGGTACGTGTTTTTAAACTTTTGTGTCTTCTGAATAGGCAGGGAATAGAAGGATATGGACCATGTAGAGTCTTTAGTTTAGAAAGGTGTCATGCATCAGTGATTTCTTGGTGGGCTGAAGGGCTTGTTCCTTTTCTGTCCTGTTCTTTGTTCTTCATCGCTACCTTCCATTTTCTTATTTGACACTATTTCCTCTCTTGTTACTTGTACTGTCTCTGGGGGAGGCTATTAATCCAGAGACCCAGGTAATGTTCTATGGACCCGGGTTCGAATCCTGCCATGGCAGATGGTGGAATCTGAATTCAATAAATATCTGGAATTAAGAATCTAATGATGACCATGAACCTGTTGTCAATTGTCAGAAAAACCCATCTTGCTCATTAACTGGGGGAGGCAATGCCCCAGTGGTGCTATCACTAGACTATTAATCCAGAAAGTTGGTTAACGCTCTGGGGACCTGGGTTCAAATCCCTAAACAGCAGAGAATGGAATTTGAATTTAATTACAAAAACGCCTGGAATTAAGAATCTACTGATGACCATGAAACCCGTTCTGAGGAAGGGTCATCAGACCCAAAACTTTAACTCTGATTTTTTTCTTCACAGATGCTGCCAGACCTGCTGAGCTTTTCCAGCAACTTCTGTTTTTGTTCCACGTTTTGACCATGAAACAATTGTTGAGGAAAACCCATTTGGTTCACTGATGTCCTTCAAAGAAGGAAATCCACCATCCTAACCTGGTCTGGTTTACATGTGTCTCCAGACCCACGCCAATATTGTTGACTTTTATTTACCCTCTGGGCAATTAGGAATGGATAAACAAAAACAATAACCTGTACATCCAGGGTTCTGTGGTCAAATACCCCATGATTTTCCTGTCCATCTCAGATATTGTAGATTTGAGATATAAAGATTTAAATTCTGTTAACTGTAAGTACAAAGGAAACGTATGTAAGAAGATGTCTGCGATCAAGAAGTTTAGACAAACTAGGATTGTTGTCCTTCCACAACATATTATTAGTTCAGCATATAATTTATATAAAATATTATTTTCGAATTTGTTGGTGTTTTGTTAGAGGAGGAACTCTCTGCTCTGCCAAACAGGGTGTTAACTCAAGGTTATAGACTTCACATTACTGACGAGGGAACTCAATAAGGTTAGGAGAGGTTACTTCATGTAGAAGGACATTAAGATCTGGAACACATTATCAGATGGGTATTTTTATAAGAGTTTGTACAGGTATAGGCAGAAAGCTGGGCCACAACCCTATCGCACAGCTCATTCAGAAAGCCAGCACAGACAGTTTGGGCTGAGTGGTCTCTTTTTGTGTTGTATGAATCTGTGGCCTTATGAGACACCCCTTGGCCTGAGCTGCAGTATTCAGCAATAAACTCTGACTTACCTCCTGGCAGACCCGATACTGATCTATTGCCCAAACAGTGGGCACATGTGTAGCCAGCAGTTGGTACTGGGTCAAGGTAGCATTGCAGGCTCTGGCACAAATCAGCCTTGTCTTTCCCACCGCATTGTCCCCAACTACGACACATTTAATCGTTTCTACATTCGGCCGCTCATAGTCCACATCGATGTCCATTGCTGTAAGTACAAAGCAAAAACAGTCATTGAGTGAACATTGAACTCCCTCTCACTATCTGTCTCCACTGCACCGTGAGTTCAACTCTTTGCATTGATATAGTTCATCCCACTCTCATTAACCGGGCTCTTGTGTGGTTTCTGCTTATTCGATCAACATCAAATCATGACCTAATTCAGGCATTGAGGGTGGCTGGAGTGACTGAGATAAAACATGAGAAAATACAGGTCAGAAACCAGCTTCACTGAAAAAGCAAACAACAAACACAAGAGCAGGAGTGGAGACTAACGGTGAACAGGATAGAGGAACTACTACAGAAACAACTGGACATAGAGCATAAGGAGATAACAAGGTGTAGAGCTGGATGAACACAGCGGGCCAAGCAGCATTAGAGCAGCAGGAAAGCTAACGTTTCGGGCCTAGACCCTTCTTCAGAAATTTCTGATTTCTGAAGAAGGGTCTAGGCCTGAAACGTCAGCCTTCCTGCTCCTCTGATGCTGCTTGATCTGCTGTGTTCATCCAGCTCTACACCTTGTTATCTCAGATTCTCCAGTATCTGCAGTTCCTACTATCTCATAGAGCATAAGGAAACAGCTTGTACTCAGCACACCAGCAAATGAGAACACAGGAACAAAAGTAGGCCATTCAGTCCTTTGAGTCTGCTCTGCCATTCAATATGATCATGGTTGATCAATGTCTTTAACCTGCCACATCCCATAACCCTGTCTGCCATTGATAATCAGAAATCTCACATTCCAGGACTGATCTTCCACAACCCTCCGCAGCAGTGTCATAGAGTCATAGTGCTGTACAGCACGGAAACAGACCCTTCGGTCCAACTTGTCCATGCTAACCAGAAATCCTAAATTAATCTAGTCCCATTTGCCAGCATTTGGCGCATATCCCTCTAAATCGTTCCTATTCATATACCCTACTCTCCTAGGTCCCTTTGTCCAATAACACTCCCCAGGACCTTACCATTGTGTGTATAAGTCCTGCTCTGATTTGCCTTTCCAAAATGCTGCACCTCATGTTTACCTAAATTAAACTCCATCTGCCACAGCTCAAGGCATCTGATCAACATCCTGTCGTACTTTGAAGTGACATCCTTCACTGTCCACTACGCCATGAATTTTGGTGTCATCTGCAAACTTACTAACCATGCCTCCTATGTTCCCACCAAATCTAGACTGTAGGGCAGGTCTTATGAGGAAAGGTTGAGGCAGCTAAGGCTTTTCTCATTGGAGTGAAGAAGGATAAGAGGTGACTTGATAGAGGTGTACAAGATGATGAGAGGCATAGATAGCATGGATAGTCAGAGGCTTTTTCCCGGGGTGGAAATGGCATAATTTCAAGGGACTGAAACAGAGACTTTCCATTCTAGGCAACATGGGGAAGCTGGGGAATCTCCAGCTAGGCAATCACATCCTTCCAATAGTGTGGAGACCAGAGCCGCACACAGTATTCCACCTGTGGCCTAACCAAGAAGAAGACTTCCCTGCTCCTTTTGCTTTTTCTTTTAATTCATTCCCGGGATCAGGGCTGGCAAGGCCAGCATTTATTGCTCATCCTAGAGGGCAGTTAACAATCAACCACACTGGGCCTGCAGTCACATGTATTTAATTGAATCATTTATTGTCACATGTATTCAATGTAAAAATACAGTGAAAAGTGTGTACATTCACTGTACATACATGCTGCAATTCACTTTAACTTAGAATAAGGTAAAAAAGTCCAATTTTCATTTCCACCCCAGAATCCTGCTCCAGGCTTTCCCACCCTCACCATGCCTCTGCCAGAGGGTGTTCAGTTACATGGCAAATTATGCAACAAGTTAAAGCAGGGGGAGGGCTCAGCAGAGGTTAAAGTTTCCAGAACAAGTTATAGAATAGAGAGGATGGGTCAGGAATCTTACTTCAGGCACTGCAGATACGGGAGTATGGAGTCATAGAGTTGTACAGCATGGAAACAGACCCTTCGGTCTAACTCATCCACGCCAACCAGACATTTCAATCTGAACTAATCCAATTTGTTAGCATTTGTCCCATAATCCTTTAAACCCTTCCTATTCATGTACCTATCCAGATCCTTTTTAAATATATTGGCCTCCACCACTTCCTCTGGCAGCTCAGTCCATACACGCATCACCCTGTGTGTGAAAAAGTTACTCCTCAGGTCCCTTTTAAATCTTTCCCCTCTCACCTTAAACTTATGCCCTCCAGTTTTGGACTCTCCTACCCTCCCCTATCCTAGACCCTGACTATTCACCCTATCAATGTTCCTCATGATTTTATGAACCTCGATAAGGTCACCCCTGAGCCTCTGACACTCCAGGGAAAAAAGCCCTCCATGAACTCTATAAGAAGGAGTGCAGTCAACTCAGCACGAAGGGTGTAGTACTTAAATGCATGCAGTATACAAAGCAAGGTAAATGAGCTTGTAGTACAGATTGAAATTGGTGAGTATGATCTTGTTGATATCACAGAGACATAAGAACATAAGAACCAGGAGCAGGAGTAGACCATCTCGCCCTTCGAGCCTGCTCTGCCATTCAATAAGATCATGGCTGATCACCCAACTCAATAGCCTAATCCTGCTTTCTCCTCATAACCTTTGATCCCATTCTCCCCAAGTGCTATATCTAGTCACCTTTTGACTACATTCAATGTTTAGTCATCAACTACTTCCTGTGGTAATGAAATCCTCAGGCTCACCACTCTTTGGGTGAAAAAATGTCTCCTCATCTCCGTCTTAAATCGTCCACTCCGAATCCTCATTCTGCAACCCCTGGTTCTGGACACACCCACCATCAGGAACATCCTCCCTGCATCTACCCTGTCCAGTCCTGTTAGAATTTTATAAGTCTGAGATTCCCCCCTCATTCATCTGAACTGTCGTGAAAACAATCCCAATCTAGTCAATCTCTCCTCATATGTCAGACCTGCCATCCCTGGAATCAGCCTGGTAAACCTTCGCTGCACTCCCTCGAGAGCAAGAGCACCCTTCCTCAGAAAAGGAGACTAAAACTGCACACAATATTCCAGGTGTGATCTCACCAAGGTCCTGTACAACTGCAACAACACATCCCTGCTCCTGCACTCAAAACCTCTCACAATGAAGGCCAACATCCCATTTACCTTCTTTACCACCTGCTGTACCTGCATGTTACCTTCAGCAACTGGTGCACAAGGACACCCAGGTCCCACTGCACACTCCCCTCTCCCAATCTACAGCCATTCAGGTAGTAACCTGCCTTCTTGTTTTTGCTTCCAAAGTGAATAACCTCACATTTATCCAAATTATACTGTATCTGCCATTGATCTGCCCACTCACCCAACCTGTCCAGATCATGCTGAAGGATCTCTGCATCTTCGTCACTTTGGGTGAAGAAGTTCCTCCTCAACTCAGTTCTAAATCTGTTCCCCCTTATTTTGAGGTTATTTCCTCTTGTTCTCGTTTCACCGCCAGTGGAAACAACCTCCCTGTTTCTATCTTATCTATTCCCTTCATAACTTTACATTTCTATAAAATCACCACTCATTCTTCTAAATTCCAATGAGTATAGTCCCAGTCTAATAAATCTCTCCTCATAAACTAATCCTCTCATCTCCAGGTTCAACCTAGTGAACCTCCTCTACACCCCCTCCAAGTGCTAGTACATCCTTTCTTAAGTAAGGAGACCAAAACTGTACACAGTACTCCAGGAGTGGCCTCACCAGCCCCCTATACAGCTGCAGCATAACCTCCCTGTTTTTAAATTCCATTCCTCTAGTAATGAAGTAAAATATTCTATTTGTCTTCTTAATTACCTGCTGCACCTGCAAACCAACCTTCTGTGATTCATGCACAAGGACAACCAAGTCCCTCTGCACAGCAACATGCTGCAATTTTTCACCATTTGAATAATATTCCCCTTTGTTGTTATTCCTACCAAAACGGATGATCTCACATTTATGAACATCATACTCCATCTGCTAGACCCTTGCCCACTCATTTAACCTATCTATATCCCTCTGCAAACTTTCAGTGTTCTCTGTACATTTTGCTCTACCACTCATCTTGCGTCATCCACAAACTTTGACACACTCTAAATCATCTGTGTAAATTGTAAACAACTGCAGTCCCAACACTGATCCCTGAGGCACACCACCCATCACCAACCAGAAAAACACCCATTTATCCCCACTCTTTGTTTTCTGATGGTTAACCAATCCTCTATCCACATGCTAATACATTGCCTGTAATGCCATGTACCTTTATCTTACACAGCAGCTTTTTGTATGGCTGCAAGGGGATCAGAGCTGAGAAATATATATCCAAGGATAAACGTCCTATTGAAAGGACAGGATGGTGGGCAGCAGGGGGACGGGATTGCCTTGTTAGTAAGAAATGAAATAAAAGGCAAGAGAGAGGCAAGAGTGGACATTGGGCCGCTGGAGTATGAGGCTGGACAAGTAGTAACGGGGAACAGAGATATGGCAGAGGAACTGAATAGGTACTTCATGGTGGAAAACACTAGTAACAAACCAGAACATCAATAGAATCAAGGGGCAGAGGGGAGTGTAGTGGCCATTACTAAGGGGAAGGTGCTGGGGAAGTTGAAAGGTCTGAAGATGGATAAATCACCCGGACCAGATGGACTGTAACATAGAATTCAGAAGGAGATTGCTGAGGAGATTGTAGAGGCATTGGTGGTGATCTTTCAGGAATCAGGGGAAGGAGTCAGGAAGGGTGCCAGAGGACTGGAAAATGTCTACTGTAACATTCCTTTTCAAGAAGAGAGAGAGACAGAAGACAGCAAACTATAGGCTGGTTAGCCTGACCTTGGTTGCTGGTAATATTTGACAATCCATTATTGAGGATGAGATTGTGGAGTACTTGGAAGTGCATGGTGAAATAGGGCTGAGTCACTTCAACTTCAACAAGGGGAGGTCATGCCTGACAAATCTGTTAGAATTCTTTGAGGAGGTAACGAGCAAGTTAGACAAAGGAGAGCCAGT